TCTATATTTAAGGCTTATGATAATCATGGCTGAATTTGAATGTATTTATTTTGCACTTACCTTTTAAAATTATTCTGTGAGCTGAGACCTTTTGAATTTATGTAGTGAATGTATATGGGTATTTTATTACGAGATTAGAAGCAGAGATTTGCTGCCTTAAAAATTATTTACCATGATAATTTTATTATGTTACTCCATTATGGCATTTGTCAATATTTACAAGAAGAAATTGTAAATGGTTGAATTTTTTTCTTTCTAGATTAAATACTTCTACATTCGATTTAGGTATTTTATTTAGCATTAATGCAATGCTTTTTAAACAATTTTTTCAGGCCCAAGGGAAAATAAAACCAATATATACAATCAGAATTGAAAACAGTTGAGTTTAACCTTCTAATATAACATAAATGGTGGTCTTCTGCCTGGAATATAAGGACTATGCTGCTCAAATTATCAGAAAATTTAGGCTTATGTATGTCTGAATTATTGAGATACATCCAGAAAGTTACTTTTACTCCTATGGCCATTTTCAGTGAATACTTGGACATTTTTGTTCTTGGGCAACCCCAATGCAGAATCTTCAAAGGCAAAATACTTAAGCAGACTATTCTGAGAGGTAAAACATCAAGATCACTGCCTACTCATATTGTCATAGCTTAATGACTCTTACATCCTCCTAGAAAATCTTAGACTTACTATGGAAGGCAGTGGAAAATATCTCTGAACTGGAAGTAAGAGAACTTGATTTCAGTTCAAACTCTACTAATAGCATGACCTCTGGTGAGCACTTCACATTGATAGACCTTTTTTCTTCACTAGTATCAGACAATGACCTAAAAGGATTCTGGCAGTTCTGTGTAAAAGCCACTGGAAAGTTTGTTACCTGAACCAATCACCTCATTCAAATGCATCCTTTCAATTTCTCCAATGATTGATGTAGTCCACCCCCTACAATCTAATTTTCTTGAGCATAGCGAGGTAAAGTCCTTCAGGAGATGAGAAAATGGTAATGTGAATCCAGAGTGTCCCACTTGGATGTCAAAAATCCGTGGGCACCATGCAACATTACAAATTATTTTTTTAAAAAACTTGTTATGTGGAGAAGAATTTTTGAATATTTATCAATAATAATTTTCAAATGATGAGTATCTCAAAATATTAAAATAAAAATAGTATGAGCGATTAAAGTGGACTTATCAGGGAGTCATTAAAGCTCCTTTTTCATTTCTGATTTTAAGGGGGTTTTCCATTTATTTCACAAGGATTACTATATGCATCATCAATACTATTCAAAGTGTCATTTGTGTGTGGAATTGTACTATAGAAGAGGGATTCTTAATCTGGAATGTACATACAAATCACTTCTTGTTTGGCAAACTCAGATCCTGGTTCAGTAGGTGAACAAGTTCCTATCTGTTGATATTGTTGCTGGGTATGTATGCACTATGTTTGTAGTGACAAAGATAAGCTGTGGGCCACAATGAGAACACGTTTTCAACCTTGCGTATACATTGGAATCACTTAGGGAAATTTAATTAACTACTAGAACCTGGATCTTACCTACAGAGATACTGATTCAATTATTTTAAAGTGTAGTCTGGACATGGAAGCTTTTTAAAGTTCCCAAGTAATTCTAATTTGCACCTAAGTTTGAGATTGACTACCACAGAGATAATAACATGAATTAAATTAGAAAAATAAGGATTAACTTGTAATGGAAAAATAAAATTACATAAATAACTAAGGCTGAGCATTTCTAAAAAATAATGACTTCATATGCAAGTCCTAAGGTTTTTTCCACAGCTCCTATCTGCTACTTGGCAGGTGATTCAACTTGCAAATAAACAAATATCAGTGGAGGAACCCCAACTCCTAATCAAATCTCATCCCTTCCTTTTTGCATTATGCTGTGACTGAAGATATGTGTGGACAGCTTATAGAAGCACTGTCTTTTCTATTCCTGCAATATGTTATATGGAACAAAAAAAAGGACATCAGAATTTGGCGAAATGGCCAGTGCCTTTCACCACCACATCTTTCTTCCTAGTTTATGGGTATGTCATTTGTCCTACCAGTTGATGTTGCAGCTTCACTGCCATCTTCCTTTATCTCAAAGAAAACTTTTTGCACGACTTGAGAAACATACACTTCTGATGAATCTGATCAAAAGAGGAAAGAGTATTTGTAGGTTAAATTAAGAGCCATTATTCATCAGATCCTAAATTAATTACATTTTCAAATAAACAATGAACAGGAATCAGTAAATGAAACAATTCCTATGTAATCAATTTTTTAGAGATATATGTGGTTTAGGTTTAGTTCTTACAGATATTGCATAGATATAGACACAGAGAGAAAGATGAAATTTTTCCCCACTACAAAAGATAAAGCCTCGAATTAGGTATTCTAGTAAATAAAATATTTGAATGAACAGAAGGTTTTACTCCAGTAGTCATGATCTACAGACAGAATGAAAGAGGATTTTCAGATTTGGATTAATTTCACCCTTTGTATTCAACCAGAGCCAACTTTTCTTTTAAATTCTGTGTTCAGTTTTGATCTGAGTTCAAAACAAAATTTACTTCCTTTCAAGAATGGTGAGGCTATCAAAGTCTAAAAAGTTTTTGTGTCATATGTTTCAAAATCACTTGGGAGTTATGCTTTAAAACCTGTTAAAATTTTCACCCGTAAGATAGTGTCTTACAAACATTTTGTTCCGGTGTGGGTATGAGCTGAAAGAGAATGTGCCTCTTCTCCCTTCAGTGGTATCAATGTATGTGTGAAGTGTTTCTGGGAGAGCAACCTGCAAGGATAATTCTCTTGAGAAGGAAGAAGTGAAGCCATGTCTCTAGAAGCCATGTCAAGTTGTCTTTGCAGGAAGAGTCAGATCTGACAGTGTTCCTCACAGAGTCAACAGATACATGCTTTGTAAATCTGCCTTGCACAGGGGTATCTTAAAACTAATACTTCTCAAATAAATAAATCAATGGATATGAATATGCCCATGATTTGAAATCTGTAAAATAGAGAAAAGGGAGCAGCCACCCTATTAGTGTGGATTAACAGAAATTCAGGAGAATGGACTCTCAAGGTCAGGCTAGTAGATGCTTCCTTCTGCCAGAACTGCCAATAAGACACGATTCACAAATAAAGGTCAGAGTAAATAACCAAAAGGCTCATACTAAGAGGCAGAAAGCATGTAGGAGGAGTGGAGAATTTCACCCAGGTTATTAATGGCACCAGCTCACATGGCTTCCTGGCAGTCATACACTTGATCTCATGTGTTTCACGTTTTCTCAGGAAAAAAAAAACAAAACAAAGAATATGATGAACTCCATAAACCCACTGGTTTCTACACCTTGGTAACTATTATTTCCCTTAATTCTTATGGAAATTCCAAACATGTCTCTGTGAAATTAAGAAGACAAGAAAACTGCAGTTTTGCAAGAAAATGTACAAGTAAATACTAATGTGCTGCTGTAACTTCTTGATTTTTTTACATGTATGGAGAATCTTCTATGTGTTAGATGAAGTGGGCAATTTACTTACATTCTTTTATTCATTTCCCTGAAGTCACTAAGATACATTATCTTAGATTAGAAAGTTGAACTTCAGAAAGGTTAAGTACTTTACTACAGGAAATAATAGCAGAGTGAGAAATCAAATATGAATCTCCTAGTTTTCAGAGTAACTTTGTAAAAATATTTAATTCAAATAGGGACAGCAGAGAATTCTCTATGCTCCTAACCGCCAGCTGTAGTGTCAGCATTGGCTCTGGGTGTTCTATTACAGGTAACAAGACAAAACCAGAGCAGCTAACACAACCTGAACAGACAACCTGGGAAGAAAGAGGCAGAAAATGTGACATTTACTCTTCGCTACTCAGGATTATTCTCTTGCACAAATTCTTTTGTGCACTCTTTTAGAAGTATTTTCTTGAATCAGTCGGTAAAAGGAGATTTTATAGATATCACACATTGGCGGAAATTTGCAGAGTGGTTATTTGAAAGTCTCAGTTATATTAAGCAAGCTTCCTAAGGCCAGAAAGAAATTTAAGAGGGGAAAAGACAGATTGAAAATAGTTTGGTTTATTCTAGGTTGGTGAGATGGCTGTGTTCTAGGATATATTTAGATAGCATCCTGTTGCAATCTTTAATGTTGACTATCTCATTCCTGGTGTTGATGAAATTTTCAAAGAAATCAGGCTATCTGTCACTGTGAGAACGAGTAGCTACATCATGTGTGAAGGTGATAATGAACATCTATGACACCTGTGAACCTCATCTACCTCTTCCAACCAAAAACTTCATTCAGTCTCCTCACTTACCCGTATAATTGATGAGAGGATAAATTAACAAATGTCACTCTGAATTCCAGATATTTATACACGAAAACATAAAATAGCTCCACAATATTTCATAATAAAATTTTTAAAACATCCCTTTTATTACACAGAAGACCATTTTTTAAAAAGGATAAGTGAATTTGTGATGCACTGGCACTCTTCTTCCATTTTTCTCTTTGGTTATTTATTTTTTACTAACTAGTATTGCCCAAACCAAAAGGATTAAAAAACTATCTTGCATTATTGTACAAGTGGCACAATCCCCCAGGAGCAAGTCAGCATGAAGGTTCCATCTCCCGTCCATTGTTAGTGTAAAAGAATCTGTTGCTAAATCTCCCAGCTGCAGCAGTACAATTTCTTAATCTTGTGAGTATCTACTCTATGGACTCTACTATTGCTGAATTAATATTTGCAAATTAGTTCTGCAAATCCAGAGTTGGATTAGACAGTTGTAACTTCAATTATACAGAGAAGGAAATAAACACAGGGAAGAAATCTAAGCCCATATATTTCTACCTATATGGTTTTATTAAAATTATGACCAAAATTCTTGTCTAATCCTGGAAAAATAAAAGGGGGCAGAGGGAAGAAGGGGAAAAAATTGAAATGTACTATGCACATATACCAATTCCCAACAGTGAATGTAATCATTATGTACTGCAAACATGTACTAATAAAAGTTAAAAAAATAAAATGTTGTCTAAAATTATGAAATTCTTTTTGACTTTCATCAAAGAAAACTAAAATACAAAATACTATAGAGTGCTTGTTCATAAACAGTTCAGCACGCCTACAACATTTATTCACAATTTGTATGTTTGCTGGAGCTAAATAATCTTTCAGTTTTAAGATCAGTCAGTTAATGTAGCACTGTACTAAGAAAATAATCTAGCAAGACAATATAGATATTATTCATTATACTACCTGTTATTCCAGAAAGGTTGCAGCCACGACTAAATATCTCAGTTATGTTCAAAGAATACAAAGCTTCCTTGAAGTCTAATTTTTGTTCTACATTAAATCTGTTTTAAAAAAAGAAAAGGTGATGAGAAAAATTCTTGAAACATTGTACACACTTCACTTGCTAGAAAAAATGCTTTTCATAAAATGAATGACTTGAAAGAGATTATATTGTGAAATCTTTTGTTCTCATTATCCCAACTACATTTTTCTCATATTTCACATCATTTTCCCCTAGCTCCACCAATCTGTTCTAAGTTGCTAATAACCTGCTTCTTAGATAAATGGTTGATGGAAATAATAAGTAGAATATTCTATTTTTTAAGTAACGATTACCTAACAAAACAGCTCTAAATTTTTATTGCTTAGTTCCTTCCTAAGAAGTGTAGTTTCCTTCCAGCAACTCTTAGATACTCAAGTTTTTCACACCATCAAAGATGGCACCTGGCAGACATTTATAACACTATGAGCAGGAAACACAAATCAGCCTTCCTCTGAGAAGATTGTTCCTGAGGTACAGTTAGTCATTTATAATATGTCATCTATCCCACTCACTGGTACAGTTTATGTGAATTTCTTCAGTTTTGAAACACACCTAATATCTTCCCAATGGACTATGTAAAGCGGTTAGATTCAAAGAGAACCAGGTCTCTTTCAAATGAACAGAATGATAAAAATACAGAAAGGGTAGGGGAGAGCTAGTCAGAGCTTCCAATGCAGGGCCATACAAATTTTAGGACTACAGCATCTGGCACAGCTCTGTATTCCTCACCTATGAAGAGGGATGTTAACCAAAAAGCTCTCAAAAAATTTCTCAGGCACTGAGATGGTCCAAATCAACAGCATCATTGAATCTCATTTACTCATTTAATAAGAAAGGGGTAAAGGTAGTGCTTTTTTTATTTCATGGGTGTTTAAAGCATCAATTTACATTTTTAAATCAGATTGGAAATACTTTTAATTTTAAAATAAAAGAGACAAATACAACATTCCTAAACATGGAACTATGTTTTTGACATCAGTGAAATTTCTGGCAACTCCTAGGAGTTTGTGAATGCCCAGCAGATATTTGCCCCCAGTGGTCCAGGTTTGGAAGCTGTTCAAAGATCCTCACTTATGTAAAAGGTAAACCAACATTTGAGGCTAAATTAGCTTGAATATTCAGTCTAATTAGATCACTTTTTAATTAGCAAGTACAAAGCAAGTTTCTTAATTATAATTCTTCAAAACAATGAACATGCTGTGGCAGAACTTTACTGGGCCTAAATTATTTCCTGGTAAAATAATATGCACTTTTGAAAGATGCTAACTCATTCAGAACCTGGCTAAAATAGGAATGGGTACAGCATGCATATTAAAATCTACTGATAATGAAAATAACTTATTTGATGTGAATTATTTTTAATTTCTTCTTTGTAATTTCTTACTAAGATAAAATGTAAATATGATAGTTTTGATTTTTTTCTTTTCATTATCATACTCTTTAAGTTGAATGGAGTATGTCTAACAGGTGGAAAATATATGTCCAATATACCTAGAAATTAGTGATTTTTACTAGATTAGTCCAGCAATTTTAGGATAATGGCAAGAATGCTGCAAGACTTATTATAACTTCTAATACTGACTAATTATCACTGAAGAGACATTTAAATGATAGTGCTGGTCATAATATAGTACAATGAAAGTTATAGCAATAGACATACATTCAGCCATTTAATAGATGTATAATCTGCAGCCAATTTCTAATTATCTATAATTTTTGGAACCATGAATAGCCAGGTATGAAGTAGCATTTTCATGGATGAGGCACTTAATATAGATTATAGTTTTTAATCATCACAAATATCCCAGGAAGTCAGCATTATCAGTGCCATTAATCTATAACAGAATTTAGAAAGTTGATTTCCATCCTCAAGGTCAAGATAACAGCTAGAGTTATAATTTAAGCTTAGGTCCATTTTTTTATTCAAAGCTAATATGTCAATTGGCATTGTTCTCTAATAAAAGAATCAAAATATAATTCCAAAACACTATATACAATATACAATTTATATATAACATATACATAAATATATATGTGATATATTATATATATATATAAAATGTCCCCCTTCCAAAGTATGTCTTAATGTCTTAATATTTATCCCATTCATGTTCCATCTTCTCTTTTCCTTGATCTTTTTCAAAAATTGTCAAAAGAGCAGTAGTCAAAGGTAAAAGAATGAGCAACAGAGATGCCGTTTAGAGGAGTAATTAAATAATCATGAAATGAAATTTTTACCATACATGGACATTATCTGCTTGCTTAAAAAATAGCAATTTACTCCCAAATTGTAAATAGGCTTCACATGAGTAAAAAACATAGAAAATGCAAGAAAACAATCTCAATTTCTGTTTTAAGATGGAGCCATTGCTAGACTCCCAACCCTACTGTGGATTGGTGTTATTCATTCTCTCTCTTTTACACCCAAAGTTCTTGTTTAATGAAAAATGTCTTGGTCAAATTTCCCTTTGGATACCTATCCTATTATTTGTCACCTCATTTTCTATGTAATGGGTTTGAGTCACTCCTGAATTTTTAGAGCTAAAACCAACCAAACCAAATCCGAGGGTTTCCATGAAGATAAAAATATAACACAGTTCTTAACAGTGGTGGGTACATAGCAGCTTCTGATCATTGCCAATGAACTGGCACATAGTAGTGTAAAATACCTGATTAGCTCTTGGGAAGAACTGAAAATACCTTCTGTCACATATAAAACATATGATGAAACATATGTGGACAATGTTTAATGTATCCTTGTTATCATAGTTTGTATCACTGTCCAATAGGTTGAACATTTTTCAGTAATTACTGTAACTGGTCATGACATATCTATTTTCATCCACTCTCATTTTTTCCATTTTTTAAAATCTCTTTTCTATGCATAATTCTCATTCACTGACTTAAAGATCAAAGGCTGGCCAAGCCTGAAGATTGTTTTCTAGTTCAGCAAGGATTTGACACTTCATGTCCTACGGTAAGTGTCCTTTTTTGGAAAAGCTGTGGCACTCCTGCTCCAGATCTCTTACTTTGCTGTGAGCTCTACCACTGACCATTTTGCTCTGTTTTGTGTTCTCCCTTCTGTTTACCCTACATTGTACTCTTTTCAGACTTCTGGCTGTCCTCTTGCAATTTTGTTACTGCTAGTTATTAGCTGTGTGAATTTCAGGTACTCACCTGTCTATATGTCCTCTGTAACACGAATATAAAACTATGTCCTTATCAAATTTTATAGGGGTTAAATGAGATATACAGGAACATCTAAGTATTGGAATTCAGTAAAAATAATATGCAAATAAGTTAATATCGAACACCAAAATCATATGCTTATTGTCTCGTAGGATCCTCAGAACAACTTCACAAGGCATATATTATCATTATTCCACTTAAAAACACAAGAAAATTATTAGACGAGTACAATGATTAACCTAAAGTTACACAGTTAAAAGTTGGCCATGCTTTTGACCTTCAATAGTATATTCTATTGTCCATGATATGGTTTCAGGAGTTGATAAAAGATACTGCAAAATGCTGTATCAGTCAATATTTTCAAAGAATGACACCTACCAGAAAGAATACGCTTATTAATTAGATATTTACTTTTAAATGGAACTGTCGTTTTAAACAAGTTTAAAGATCCAGACTTCAGAAAATTCAATGTAATCTATAAGGGCTCTCTCAAAGAAAATACATTTTTGACCTTACATGCGTAAATTAGTAAATAATTTCATGGGCTTCAAGGACATGGAAGTTCACCTCAGAATACTCCAGAAATCCACAGAACCTCATTAAGGATTGCCACAGAGGAATAAGAAACCAAAGTCCTCTCATTTTTCTAGGAAGTCAAGCTTAGAACATCAAAGCCACCTATGCTTTCATAACCTACATCAAGTTAGTTCCAATAAATGTTTTTCTGTTTCCATCTGTTCTTTAATCTTCCAAGCAGAGCTGTTCCCTGTAAACACTCACTGATTAATGCCTGAATTTTTTTCAGTGGTTCCTTAGCTAATGTGGGGGTTTCAATTTCCTTCTTCAACATATTCTAAATGTTATTACTACTCAGTTTAAAGCAACAAACTGACTAAATAGCAACTATTTTTTCTGGCTTATTCTTTGTGCTGGGTCTACAAATGGGAAACTTGCATAGTTCCTGATCTCAAGAGGTTTACAGGTCAGTAGGGAGACAAACAAATAATGTTAATACAACTCTTAGGTGGAAATAAATACAAGATGGCAGAAGAAATTTTCCTAGCAAGAAAGGAGGAAAATGTCTGTAGGATCTTGCACAGCAAGTAAAGGATTTCTAAAACCCAAACTTGATTTTTAAGTAGCAACAACAAAAATTACCCAGAAAACTGGAGATAATGGGAAAGAGTAAGAAATGGAGATTTCAAGGAAGCTATGAGCATGAACAAAATAATTGTAATTACTAAATATATCTTCCTACAACACTGCAGTAATCATTCCACTGCCTTTGACATTTTTAATAAGTCACCATTGTATATAAGGGTTATCCCTCTTGTTTGTTTTAAAGCTTAGTTCTCAAATCTTTCTTCTATGGACCCCTGATAACAGTTAAAGGTTCTGATGCTCCCTTCTGTCTCACAGCCTTTTCGAATTAACCTCCCAGTCCTCCCTGGTAATACTATTTTTCCAGTACTCACAATACACAGCTTTATATAGCCTTAATAAATTTCTCGTGGAAATCTTGCACTACTGCATTCTGAGTAGTAACCATTCTATCAACATCTACAGTATTACATCTGTTCTCACCTTTTGCCCACAGAAGGGCCTCAAATAATCTGTGCTTTTAAATGGAAAATAAATTTTTAATAAATAGGAAATTAATAAGAGTAAGTCTGTGATCCAGTAGAAATGAGAATTAATCCTGACTCTCCCTATATTTGAATATAATTGATTTAATTTTGAGTGCCCTTGTTTTCTTATCTATGAAATACAAATAACCAAGTCAGACTATAGAGCCATTAACATTTAGTATTAAAGTGTAAATGTTAAGTC